GCCGCACCTAGCGATTGCCCCATGGAAGTGTGCTGGCTGAGTCTGAGTCCATTCATTTTGATGGTGAAACACAGAATGTAAAATTAACAGTCATTAGTTCTATTTTTATTAAAGGGAAGTCCTTTGATCAGTTTCAGAATGACCCCCATTAGTCTCACATTCTTATATATCCTCAGACCAAAATGAAAGGTTAATTTAATTAGAAGACTGTAATTGGAATCTGAGTAAATCCAGGGACAGAGTGAATTTTCTTAAATCATCATTACCTTATGATAATTAACAGAACATTTTAGCAAAATAAATGCCTGAAGCTTATGAAATTGTGTCAAAACCATAACCTCTGATTGTGAAACTGCTACACTGAATTATTAGTTTTCAAAGTTTGAACTGAAGAGAAAGTCAGTGAGTGGTCCTGGATGAAGGCCTTATTAAATGGGCTCTTTGGTTTAACTTATTTCTGATCCTTTGTCATCTTGTGATGTTGATTAGTGGAAGCTCTGAAGAAGTGTGAAGGAATCCTAAGTAGTATTAAAGCAATCCTTGTCTTCATTTTAATAACAGAAGAGAAGACCACTAGTGTTGGAGTGTTGAAGTACCTATAAGACACTCAGGGCATAAGGAACCCTACTCTCAGAGTTCTGGACAGAAACATCAAAGGAAAACTTTTTTTGAGAACCTAATGATAAGAGTTGGAAGTGAATTCCAAAGGCTTTGCACCTGTTTCAACTACATCCCTTGACCTGAGAGGACCCCTTGGAGAAGTCTCATGGGCAACTGGTTAGCTGGGCTAATTTGCTCATTAGTTGGATTTTAAAAAGGAAATGCCAGAGAGAAGACAATCAACACATATGAAAGATGCAGGCTGGTTCTGTTTGAGTGTCTAACCTTAACCAGAGCTAGTGAAAGATCCGCAGGCTGGGTGGCGAGTGATGAAATATCAAGTGGACAGATTGGGTGAGACCCCCCTCCTCCTTTCCTCCCAACATGCCAAACACATTTCTAGAAAATGTTAATGGGTACATGGTTGCCTGCCTCCTTAGTACCATCTCTCAAGGGAAAACAGAAAAATTTCATCCAGAAGTTGACCTTGACCAAAATATTTTTTTTTCTAAGAACTGTTTTCAACAGGTTCACTCTCAAAGGCAGAAAGAACCAAATTAACCCTAAAGACACCCTATTTGAAATACTTGTGAAATAAAAGGAATAAAAATGAATTTCTTTCAGTAAGATTTTTGTATCTGTTTTGGGAAGGATACCTGTTATTCCAAGCAGTTATTAAACAACTTGGACTATGCATCTTTACAGAGATAATAAGACTCCTTCTTGGCACTTTGTTCCATTTATGAACGACATAGGATGTGGAAGAAATTAGGTTGACATGAACTTTTGGGCAGGATGCATAATGCAGATCAGGTTATTCAACATGTAAAACTTTGCTTTTACATGCTGAATCTTTGCTTTTAATGCACATATTTCTATGGTATAGGAGAAATCGGGTAGAGGAGAGCCGGTGTTGGAACAATGGCCAATTCCAAGTAAAAAGACTCTTGCAACTAGTAATACCAATCTTCTAGGGTTGTTATTGAACTGGGTAGAATGTGAACCTTTGACAGAAAAAAAAGACTAAAAGCAACATTCACATAGTTATACACGCTAAGGCTGGTTCATCGAAAAAATTTAACCATTGGCGGATCTTTCTGGACTTCGTGGTTATAGGGGCTAGACTCAAGTCCAATATCCCATCCCATGAATTGATCTAACATTATAATTAGTCCTGAAGTGTTAGTAACAATATGAAAATGGACTTACCTTTTAAAAATGAAAGTATTAAGTTACCAAGTTAAGTAATTTAAAAGCATTATACATTTAAAATTGGAAAAAAAAACTATTGAAAAATATTTTTATGAGACATCTGCACAGCTCTAATGTATTCCATAAGATAATTCAATGGCATGGACTGTATGCCAAAAACATACTTTTCTTTGGTTGTCCAAGCCAAAAACTATATATGCCCTGCTTTGATTATCATGTCAAACCCGAGAATGAGTTTAAAATATACAGTTGTCTCAGGAAAATGGGGCTCTTTTTCTTACTTAAAGGTAATGACTTTCAAGTACCTTAAATAGGGGCAATGCACGAAGAAATCCTACTTAACACATTTTCTTTGTGCCAAACTATTTCATTTAAAAAATATAATCTTGTCAACAGTGTAGATAATTCCCTCCCACATCGTTATCATAGCCATACAACTTGATTCTCTGAGCATTATTACAATGCAGTGTAAAAAGCTCCCAAGAATTTTTATTTTGAAAAATTTCAAGTCTTGTGTTTTCTAAAATGAATTTAGAAAAGTAAGGAAAGATTCACAAAGAATACAAGTTTTCACAAAAGCAACTGTTAAGATCATGGTTTTTATCATGGATATTTATACTACCTAGTTTATTTCTTAGGTGAAATATTTTGTGAAGCAGTTACATGATTGGTTTAATTTAATACAAAAGAATAGTTCTCTCAGTTGGAAAAGAAAACTCAAGATTATGATCTTAACAATAGAAGGTGGAGAACTACAAATAAAGAACCGCGCTTTTGGAAAGGGTCGCCTTCTTGCTGAATTGATCTCCTCTATTATATGTCTGCAAGGGAGTCTAAGAAATAGTACTGTAAATTATAAGCTCACTGGCAGAGCATTCCAGTAGAGAGGGCTGTATAAGCATTTTAATAAATCAGTTTCCCCTCTTCCTGTACATTTTAAAATTTGGCCTACTATACCTGTCTTTGTAGCACACAAATTATTAAGGTTGGGCTTTGTGAATTAACTGTCAAAACTGATGCAGCAACCCTGATATCTTCTATTTCTTTCTCGGTATATTTGGTCATTAATGTGACTTTTCCCACCGATTGTATACCTGAAACACAGTAACCAGTGAAGTACTTGACCTACTCAGATTTCTTAGAATCATATGCACTATTCTGTGTGTACATATGACAACTTTAGAGAAACTCTCATGGGGTTTGGGGACATGTGTTGTTGTTCGTCTCCACATACCTATGCACAGTGATCGAATAGGCTATGGAATGCACCCTGGGGCACATATGACCCCAAGAGACATAAAGTCAATAACTTAGCATGTAACTCCAGTGTACCACATACCCCAAGTACTTGTAGAGATGACACTGCGTGCTGAAGTCTGGAGTCTTTGTGAAAAGTCATTATATTTGATTTTTCTGTAACAAATTTGTTCCCAGAAGAAAAATTCCCAAGCAACTGCTTGGAGCATGAGCTTTCCCCGGTTGCTGAATACCAAGTAATACCAGGCAGGTCACATTGTCTGTTGACTGGACCAAGAGTGACTGATAAAAGAATGGCAAGGTTGGGCAACAAGGAAAGGAGAGGTGACACCGTGAAGTCATGGTGTACTTCATGGTGTAAGCACATTCAAAATAAGTAATGATTTATAAATCCATCTACTTAACTGCCCCTTGAGGCAATGAAACCAGAGGACCATTGACAAAACTGAAATATTGGAGATTTTCTGAGTGCATCTTTTTAGACATCTTGGCAGGCTGAGGTAAAGTGACAGGAAGCTGAATACTTACCATTTCCTGTGGAATGGAAAGTGAAAGCACTCTTTTAGGAATTCTACCTCATACTGGTTGGCCCTTCTGCAGGAAGGTCATTCTCTGTGCTTGGAGATTACTATCCATGGCCTGGTTAAGTATTAAAAATGAAACACCTAATTATTTCAGTTGTGTTCTTTTTCCATGGTATCCCTGGAATGAGGTACCATCAGCAGCATTCAACCTCAACCTTTGAAATGTGTTGGTGTGTGTATGAAATCAATGGCTATGGCAATAATGGAATTTGAAAAGAATAGCAAAATCCCCAATCCATTACCATAAAAATCTTTCGGAAGACATGAGCACAAGTCAATGTTTCTATTCACAAGAACACACGCCCCCAGTAAGGTAAATGTGATCTTGCGTGTCTGCGCTGTTTGCAGACCACTTCTTTGCCACCCGATAGCCAGGTGTATCATTTCCTAGTTTTGTCAGTGCCTTGACAAATGAAAGAATGTCTTGGCCAAGAGATGTGATTGTTATAAGGAATGCCGGATGCCACGTGTAAGTGAGAATGAATTGTACATTGTCAACGGTGAAATGGCCAAATGTCTCTAAAGTCATGAAAGTACAACGAGGACTTGCTCTTTGTATAGCTGCCAAAGATCAGAAGAGGAAAATCAAAATGGAGAGAGATTCTACATTTTCAACTCAGAAGAACCAAAAGAAGTCTTAATGAAGCTGGTCTGCTTTAGGGGCTTCATCACGTCCCAGAGAGAATTCTCTAACTTCTTCCACAAAGATGTGAGAGCAAACTAGATATTCTCAGTTGCCTTTTATAGATTGAGACCAGGAACGTGAGAGCATAAAGTTTCTAATGGAGGAAGTCTGGTGTGGAAATGGCTGTGGGAACAATGCGTTTCTCTTTCTGGAGAGGGAGTGAGTGCTCATCAGATGTGAGCCCATCTCTGTCTTCAGGCTTGATTCAAACAGCATATTTGTATGATAATCTTATGTTAGAAAAGCAGCCACAACAAAAATTTCGTGTGCTTATGCTATAGAAAGCAAGGCTCTTGGAAACCTTCAAGGATGGAAGGATGGAAATAGAATCTGTGAACAAATTAGTGTTTGCTCCTAAGTACTTGCGAGTCAAACAGCTGGAAAACTCTGCTGAAGTCTATTAAATGGTCGAGGATCCTCACTACAGTACTCGTTTTGCTCTTTATTAAAGAAGTAAACACTGGCTGCCCAATTTTGTATGGAATTAAAGATCAATATTCAGGAGACAGCAGTTCTGTGATTCAAGAAGAACGTTTAAACTGTACCTTATTATTTCCTTCACCCTTGAAATTGTGCCACACATGCTCACATGGTGCTGTGATGAAAGGTTCTTTGGGAAACTTTAAGATGATGAGATGAACAGTGGGTCATTTGCATGCACCTCTTGTTCAGATTTAGTGCAATGTGCTATGTGCTAAAAACTGTGTGACAAGTGATTATGAGTTCATGTTGTTGGATGCAGAAAGCAAGAAGTGAGAGTTAAATGAAAAGGTGAGGAAGTGGTGAAAACAGGGTACATCCAATGTGTATCACAGCCTCACAGGATAAACAAACATTCCAATCCTGTGTGCTGCTCTTGGGGCATTTAAACATTGTTTAACCAAAGGGCAGGCATTTGCAGCAGCTTGAATTTTGGTTATCTCCTTTTCCATGGAGGAGGGTACTGATTGTGCAAGGATATCCGTCTGGTCTTTATTTCTCAGAGCATGAAGACAAACAACCGAAAATAAAATAGATGACAATGAGGAGAGGAGACATTCCACAGTACAGAATATGCTGCGCCACTGGTGATGAAATCACAAACAATTAGAAACTTTATTTTTTTTTTTCTGTGTCAATAATGTGTACCAATTCTAAGGACCAGCACTGTGAGTGCCTGTCCTTCTAAAGCCGTGCACAATACACACAAAATAAAATAGTCAAACAAATAAACTGAAATCATTTTACACATAATAATTAACAACCCTGAACAGCCAGGATCATATTTTCCTTACAGCATGAAGACTGAAAAGGCAAACAAACCAAAACGCTTGAACTTGAAACTGACCAACAGCAAGAATTTTTTTGGGAAGTTCTCTGTGAACATTCACTACGGAATTATTGACATTCCAAAGATGTCTTTAAAAAAAAAAAGACCAAAAACCAAAAACCAAAACGAAACAACAACAAAAAAAAAAAAAACAGTGCAAAATCTTTCTAAGGTTTTAACCACGTATATCCTTTGACTATATTTACTTGGTATTTCTAAGCTAGCTTTTCACTTTTAAAATCTAAAATTAAGGTTAAAAAAATTAAAACAGGATAGGTAAGAGTGTCCCACTGAGCAGTCACCAGTGTCACCACTGTCAGTGGGCTGTGGCATGCTGTCATGGAAAAGTACCATTGCCACATAGATAAAAACAGGTTAGTTGGGTCTTCTCAGTGTTTTCGGTCACCACCATGATTGCCCTGCTTGGTCTACATTAGGAAGATGAACATACCTGCAAGTTGGCCAAGGCTAGAAAGAGGATTTTCAAAGCTAAACATCACATTCCTTTATGGAAAAAAGTGAGCATTTGGCCAACAGCTTTTGTTGTGCAATTTTAATGTGATTGTGTTAAAAGTCATAATTATTTTTCTCTTGCAAGATACAACTGTCTCAGTATGGTTGTGCCAATTCTTACTCTTTGAATAGGAATCCCATTCACTACGTAAACCCTGGGAGCAGGAATCTGGGCTGCCTTGGTCACTGTTCAGCTCCCAGGTTGTAGTATATTACCTGGCCTTTTGAATGGGCAACAAGTATCTAACTATTCACTCAGTCACTAAATGTTTATTAAACAATGAACAGCTATGATCACTGAGTGAGAGAAGAGAAAAGACATCTCAGCAACATTTATTTCTTAACTATCTTTGAGTCAATGCAGAGGGCCAGAGAAGTCTCAGAGAAGCCTCTGAGAGGTGGGCAAAGCCATTCCATTTCCCATCATTAGTAGAATCACTACTTTTGGAATGTTGGGTTTATCTTTGCTCTTTGGTATTTTTGAATAGAAAGAGCCGTTCCTTTTGAAGGGTTAAAAACTCCCCAGTGTTATCTTCCTGGGAGGCCCCAGCCCTTTTGAGTCATTTACTCTCAGTCATACACAGTGGACATCTGAGTTCTCACTGGTCGCTCTGGCTTCTTTTCCACTCGGGAGTCGCTAATGAATTCAGGGAGTCTGGACTGAAAGGTGAATGAAACAGGGCTCAAAACAGCCTCCTACATAAAAAAATAAAGTGAACGAGCACTATCTATCATCTGTGCCAGACAGAGAAGATGTGCAATAAATACTTTTGGGGAGGGGTGGCATGGAAACGGTGGCTCCAAAAGTCCAGGCACATCCAAAGTATCCACCTTTCTCCCCAGCCTTTCTCTTCGGCCTACCTGAATTGATGGGTGATTCTCAGAGGCCTCTGACATGCTCGACATGGCTAAAATTCCATGGGTATCTTTCTGGTTTGCCTGCCATCCTCTCAATAACTTTACTCTCTCCTCGCATGACAGTTATTGCTTCTTAGAAGTGAGCGTGCAGATTCGTGAACAATAAGCCATTTTCTTCTTTTATCCCTGTTAATATTCAAACTCAGTAACAACTCAAAAGTAACAACTCAGGTGAAAAGAAAATTCACTTATGTCTTCAATGTCCAATCAACATCGCTGAATGGGAGAACAGTATTTGCTCTACTCTACTATATACAGATACGCTTTGTTTTAATTGTTTTTCATCCATGCACTGTGTAATGGAGATCACGACAACATTCCCAAACAGGCACATGAAGGAGGGCACATGTTCAGTCATGACCGTAACAGGATTGTGCGGGCCATGGATGCCACTGAAAATAAAACTGATGGAAAAATCCCAGGCACAGCAACGTGGGACCTGGACACATATAGTGACTGAAATGATAGGCTGTTTGGATGGGGTTAATCTTCCTGCTTGCAGGGGGTTGAGTGGTGGACAGGGGGAGGTCCAGGAATGGGGTACCTAGGAAATTATCTTGGCTGGAAGGAATAGGGTTTTGCTAATCACAGCTCGGAGCTAAAGAGATAAGGGATGAAGAGTTTTGCGCACTCCTGGGAATCTAGGCACATTAACCCTGTACCTGTTGAACAAGAGGGCCAGGTACCATATCCTTAGACTAATCAAGAACCATTGCCTTTCTGGCTCCATTTCAGGTCCTATGCTTCTTCCTGAGGGCAGTTAACCACTGTTCACATTCCGGAGATAAGCATAACATTTGGTAATGTAGTGGAGACAGCTTCTTTCTTCCTCCGTGCCCAGATCCTTCCTTAATCCAAAGCAATGTTTAAAGTGTTTGGAGATGGTGAGGAGAGGATCTTGATGATCTTAATATTGACCCTAAATCCATTCACCTTTGGGTGGATCACTGCTTCCCATAGAGAGAAGTGGGATCCTGGACCTCCAAATTGAATAAAGCAAAACCAAACCAAACCAAACCAAACCAAAGCAAACCCCAAAAGACAACCATCAGCCACCTCCCCACCCCCCAACTGGAAACAGAACAGAACAAAACAAAACAAGAAAACAAATAAAAGCCTTAACCGTTTATGAACTTGGAGAGAGGGTAGCCCGTACAGGCTGAGCTGCAAAGACGGTCCTGCCTCCATGCCTTGCTCACCACCATGATGCCCCGGGAATGGGAGGTGATAGTTTCTGACTTCCGGCCTAGTACAGAGTGTGTTCTTGAAGCTGGGTTCCATCAGCAGGTTAAGTGAACATGACAAATGTCAGTTTCCTCTGTTCGTTATACATAATTTTTATGTATATATATATGTATATATATATATATATATATAAATTTACTTTATCTGATTGTTCCTTTAGAAGCCTTTTATGTGGCAGTAGGCCTCCAGGGAGGAGAAGAAAATGTACAAGAGCCACAGGAGCACAAACAGGCAGGATGTGAGGAGCTTGGCAGTCCGGGGCCCACCCAGCTCACCTCCTATTTCTGGCCTCCGCCGGTACAGCAGCACCCCCACGTTGATGAAAGCAAAAATGGTGAAGAGAGTGACAGAGAAAGCTAGCGTGCCAGGGGACACTTTGAACTGTTCCCCGTTGGCCGCATGGTAGATGGCAGCAATGGACCAGGCCAGGCCGATTCCCAGGAAGACATTCACTGCATTGCTTCCAGTGACGTTGCCTATGGATGCGTCTGCATACTGGTCCTGGGTGGCTGCTACTTTGCTGGCAAATGTGTCTGCAGAGAAAGAAGACCAAAAAGGCTATGACGATGAGTTCACCTTATAGGAATGCCCACAGGGTACCAGGAGCTTCCACTGTGCAGACTAGACTCGCTACCACAGTAGACTTTTCTCTCTCTTTGAGTCAGTCTTATGGCCAAAGGAACAAAACATAGATACCAGGAGTCAAGGGTTTGGTGCTGCCTGTATTACTGACAGAGAAAGTTATGTAAGTCGAGTTCATTATCCGCAGATATCATAGTTCTTTGTTTGCTGGGCTTGCATGGCAGCTTTTTTCAGAAGTATTTATAACCCAAGTTATCAAAATCCAATGGTGTCCTTGATGGACTATTGCCCCATCAAGCTGTTCTTGGTCATAATCCCCGGGGCCCAGAAATCTATTTTTACAGAACCCCAAAAGATCTCTAGGTCACTATGTGTTGAAAATGGTTGCTGGTGGCTATTACTAAACTGCTGAATCAGCAGCTATTGCTTACAGCCGAGAGAGCTAAGATGTCAGGAGAGAGTTCCAAAGACCATGGAGCAAGTCAATACTGCAATTGAAAAGAATCAGACAGTAATCATAGCTGACATTTGCCTGGAGACTTGAGAATAGGAAGGTCGGCTCATGCGTATGACAGTATTGATTGTGATAATAATAGGAGATGATGAAATGAGGTCCAGGGATGAGAAGCAACAGGTGCCATGCTACAAAGCGAAGAGGAAAGGAAGGTGGATCTGGGGCATCTGGCTTCTGCCTTCAATACTTACACTTGTTCACTGTACCATCTTACCCAACACCATGCCACAGATACCAGGAAGTACCCTCAAAGCATTCTGTTTGTTAACAATCTTCACTGTGTTTCCCCCCCCCCCCCCCGCCAAGAATAGGAATATCACAGCATCCTCAAGGGCAAGTTTTTGGACAGCAATAGCTTATACTTCTCCATGAGTAGACTACAGAGATTTCTGATCCTCTTTTACAATGAATTTTGTGACCCTGGGCCTCAGTTCTTCTGTGGAATGGGGGTACTGATATTCACTTAGGTTTGCTATTTATAAGGTAGAAGAGACTATGGGAAAAAAGCTGTTTGCACTGTTTGGCCAGGGCAGGTAGCCTTTTGTTGTTGAGATAATAAAAACAGAGCAGTCTAGATTGGTTTACAAGTTGGGATCGGTTACACTGTGGCTCCACTTGTTAATCATGAAGGATCTCCATTTCTGGCCTGTGTGATGCCTAGTTCCTGACATTAAGGTTCTTTCAGGGCTGGTGAGATGGCTGAGTGGGTAAAGCAGCTTACTGTGCAAACTCGTCATGAGTTCAATCTCTGGAATGTATGTAAAACCCAACTTCCCAAAGCTGTCCTCCATAGCCACACACATGCCATGACCTGCACACTCCCCCACACTCATACCCCCCCACACTCACCCACACTCATACTCATTCTCTTTCACAACACTATCAAATACACACTAATTCACAACACACACATATACACTCTTTATCACGTGCACACCAATTCACACACACACTTCCTCCCTCTTTCATACATTCTTTATCACAGACACACTAGTTCCCACGCTGTCTCACATGCAGAGCTATTTTAGTGGTCCATATAGCACACCATGCACAACTTGCTCATAACAGATGTTGATAATGGCCACACTGAATCCACACTCAATTTTAGAGTTGGTGAGTATTACAAGCCTACCAGTTCCGGGGCCTCATGGGTGCCCTGCATGCTCTGGCAGGCTGGTAGTCATCTAATACTTGAATCAATTTCTTCCTTCCGCCCCTCCTCTGTCATTAACATCCTTTTGAATAAACTTCCATGGGAACAGTAGGAAAAGCGTGCGTGTTCACACTGCCCTACAGACCTGCTCCTTTGTGATGGCAAAGAGGGTTATTCAGGTTGACCAGAGCCTGCATATCATGTTCTTTGTCAACGGCAGCTGGTCAGCCCTGAGTATGGTCACTGTCTATGATGGATGGCAGATTTTGTGCCTCTTCTAAAATTGAAGAGGTAAAAAAAAACAAAAAAAAAAAAAACAAAACAAAACAAAAAAAAAACACAAAACAAAAACAAAAAAACCAAAACACTACACACGCCACATAATACACAGAGGTTAGGTGTGTAGTCTCGTTTCGTGGTCTTATAGCCAGATGCGATTATTCCATTTTTGAAATTTTGGGATCTCAAACATCATTATCTCATGTGTCTTGGGTAGGATCCTAGACAGAAGGGAATTTTTATGCCAACATGCCTTCAGGGTCCACTTTCAAACTGCATTGTCCATCCCAGGAGGATGAGAGATTTCTTTCCTCTCAGCTTGTTGCCGATCACTCTGTTCTTTCTACTCAGAATGTCTGAAGCAGGTTTTCATCAAAGAGCTTTTTTCCATATCAAGGGGAAGAAGCCCAAGGAGGTACCGACAGTCTGCTAATTCACCTCTTGGATTTGGTCTTCCTTCTGTATTCCTCACCATATACAGCTGCCCAATCAGGAGCCGCAGAGATGACTGAATAAGGACAGCCAAACACATCCTAAAGGTCTCTGTGTTTTATTATGAAGAGATACGGGAGCTGCTGATGCCGAAGCAGCCTAAAGTAAGTTTTTGTGCTCTCCTTCTCCAAGGACAGCCAGTGTGGTGGAACAAAGAGATAAGAAAACAAGAGCCCAAGGCAGGAGAAAGCAGCCTAGGGGAGAGCCACTGCTGAGAACTCCTGGAGCCTTGTTCTGATCTGAGGTGATTGCCATGCCTGTCTGCTGGCGATAGATGGCTAACAGAGTGAGGCATGGCAGTCTCAGAAGGAGAAGAGATGCCCTCTTTCTGTCACCAGGGATGGGTTACAAACGAGCCCTCTCCCCCTGGCACAGGGTTCCAGGGGTTCTAGTCGTACCCTCCAGATGGCATTCTCTGTCTGGACAGGGGAGAGGATCACACTCGAAACTTAATGTATCCAGGAGCCTGATCATCCAAACTGGTCCCATTTGCTGGCTTGGAAACCATACCAAGTCTGTGGTAATTTTCACAGTTGATATTTTTCAATAGCCTGTTTATGTGACTATTGTGTGAATGTTCCAATTTGTCAAAACAGGTTCTGGTTTTAAATACTTTTCTCTGGAGCTGAAATCAATAAGTTGCCATGTACATAAAACATGTTCTGGGCCTCTTTGAGTCTGGTTGGTTTTATTTACCTGAGTTATTCACTGAGTCTTTTGTGTCTTTTTATTTTCAATTCAAAAGCTATGTAAAGACATTGTTTTTATAAATAAAGACAATGTCTATATTAAGACATTGAAGAAAAGCATGCAAATCTAAACCATTAACCTTGATTGTGACAGCCATAGCTTAGGTTTCCAAATGCAATGGAATGGGGTCTCCCCAAATCATCCTCTCTTGTTGCTTTGCTGCTTTGTGTACAAAACAATGTCTCACACACCATATGTTAGAGGATGATAAACCCTACCCTGAGCCATGAGCCTGTAACCTGACTGTGGCTGAACAAGACGAATACTGATCTGCAAAGCAAAATCCACCAAAAAACTACTGCCTTGGCCTCGGAAGGGAGGCAAGCACATTCAGCGGTTGGCTTACAAACACAGAGATACAGGACTCAGATTTCCAATGTGATTCACATACATTTAGACAAGTTGGTGATGGCATACATCTGCTTTCATGTAAGCTTATCCTCAGGTGACTTCTCATGCCTTAACTTCTATTCTGAGCTTTAATTAATTGTATGCTAGTTGTAAAGTATCCAATATTTAGTGCTATTTTCTTAGTCTCTATGACTATAAATCAGGAAGAGAGAAGGCTTCCAGGAGTTAAACCACACATCAGAAAGCTAGGCCATAACTGTTTTCTGTAGACTTGTCTCCAACTCACTTTATATAATCCTGGCCAAGTCATTAGGTCAGCAGACAGGAATAACACCCTTTTCCTCCAGGACTTAATGTGTTTTTTTTCCTCAACCTGGATCCCTTCAACTTTACAGCTACTTGAACATCTCTTCTGGAAATGTCACAGGTGGGACCCAGATTTCTCTGTAACAAGTTAAGAGCATCATGTCACATCAGATGGCTCATCTTATTCTCTACCTTCTGGGGACAACTGCCCAGTTCCGTCCGAAGTGATTTGTGCTTGGGAGTGACTTCTCTGGAGCACAGGCTCACGGTGGAGAAATGGTTACTTCTCCTTCAATACGTACTGACTACAGATGGTCTAAGCCATGGTCATGGTCCATTGTGTACAGAGCTCCATAGTTTCAAAGTACAAAAAAAAAAAAAAAAAAAAAAAAAAAAAAAAAAAAAAA